ACTGTGTTGGCAAATACATAAAAAGAATGTCGCTCTAAACACTTTTAGAATGATGTTCTACAACTTACATGATTTGCAACGACTGAAACGACTTACCGCCGTTATAATGAATATCAAACACCCCCAGCTCTGTGGCTCACCCGACTCCTTCTCTTGGAACATTTAGAATATGGGTAGAAACAAATGAATTTGAGCAGTTGAAACCAGCAATTCACAGGGTTCGCCAGCGATAGGGCGTCCTGATCAATGCAGCGCTATGGTAATTTTTAGAATAATCTTCACGAGGTTCCTAGTTCGCGACAGTAACCAAAACAAGTGCAATGGAATCGATTATCTTTATTACGAACAACTTCAAACAAAATTGCATAACAAAAATAGCTGTACAATAGGGACTCTACCTAAACTCTCCTAATTTTTCGTGGCCTTGGACCGAGTTCTTTAAGAGGAGTGTGATCCGTGATGCTCACAACTCGAACACCGGCAACCGTTAGACCTTTGACACATGTCATACGTCCAGGACCAAGGCCTTTGACCTTAAAAAACCCAATGATCATACCTTCAAAAAGTTTACACTGTGCCAAATGACAAACCTGCACACGCACGGTCCGAACTCCTCTTCGAACGAGACGTTGACCAGCAGCGACTCCTGTTGTTTGGCCAGCAATTGTGGTTTTCTTACGGGCATGTTTGAATCCCTCTAGTCGGCATGACGTGTAGATGATTACATGATTCTTAAAAAAGAAGGAAAAATAAGAACAAAGAACACAAATTTCATGTTTAATTTTACGTAGGCCTGCGGTTCAAAAAAAGGTAACCTAAAAATTTGAGACATTAAATAAAGACCACCCACTTTTTTGTCCATAACTGTGACTAAAGTATTGTTTTTGGTAGCTTTAATGTACACAATGGGTAGGTCACAGTATGGTATTCCATCAAATTCTGTTTTCATTATTTCGGCAGTGGGAAGTCGCGACTCTAGGCTTTGCAGATTGACAGCAGTGAACCGCCCTGCGCCAGCCGTGCCTTCCATGACTTCCTGAAAATGATCTCACATCAGTTACTTGATTTACAATTACAACTTATCTGCAACTAAAAATTATGGTCAGGTAATCGTCACGCCTCACCAGCGCAGCCCCAGTAATTTTTGTGCCAGCTCGGTGAGCATCCCGAATACTGTCCAGAAGCGTTGAAGAAATGGAAAGAGGACGAGCTTGTAATGCGGGCAACGTCGCATGTCTACTCAGTAGAAGCCGAGAAAAGTCAGCTGCCAGCCGCCTAACAGCAGCGCACATCTTTAATCTGAAACAAGGTAGAAACGTTTGAAACCTGAATTGAACATACACTGACTCATAATCATTGCTAATCATAAAAACGCGATTGAACAGTTGCTTTCTGGCTACCAGGTGCTTTAGCTCAAAGCCCAAAGTTGAAGGTATAAACCACTCTGCGTTGCTCAATCCCCTCACCGAGATGCGCCACGCACCCCGACGCTATACACACAATCATATACGGGCGTTCAAAAAGCAGAGTCCTATTGTGAATTTGTGTGATCAACAATCGCAGCAAATTCACTTAATAAAGCAAGGCCAGTTCCTATTTTCCCCACAACAGAGTAACTACGGAATACTGTCCATAAGCGACAGAGTACTCCGCACGCAAATTGAGAAGAATATCTTTTATTTAGGTGAGATTCTCAATACTCTTTCGATATACGATTCATCACCCCCCTTCAACAAGCCCCGAGATTAAATTAACACCGCCCCATGTCACCCCCCCATAGCAACCAGCCTATACCAACCCTAGACATTGCGCTTGCCTGTAGCAGCCCCATCCCCAGTAGAAAAATTCAGATAATGCGCGAAAAGCATTGTTAGATTTGAAATCTCAAAACTTCAGATCAACAGCATCTTCGTCTCAGATCGGTCAAAGCCGAGTTTACATAAAACCCCGCGAACAAAGTTGACACTTCGAACGAATGCGGTGCACGAGATGACTAAAGATCTGAAATGCCCCTCAATCGTTTTCTTTGGCGTAACCGGGTTAGTGAAATGAATTCCTGTAATATCAGGCCAGGAGCCGGACTGATACGGACACCGAGACCTCAAAGAATATCTGGAATGACCAACCGTCTTCGGTCAGATCTTCACGACTAACAACAAAAAAAATGAACGGACAAGATGAATGGCTAATGTATAGCGACACCGGGAATTACATTCCGCCACGTTACAGTACAATTGAACACCATGATTATGTCCACCCACGTTCGGAGAGCCTTAATCTGACTTTTTGATCCCCTTATTCAAATAAGAAAACAGAGTACTCAGCAACTGCACATCGCTGGATAGTAATCAGCACGTTACTTCCCCCATCACTTCATCTGGCATCATTCACCAGATCACCATGTGCCCCTCTCAGATTCTTCCTCTGACCTACTGAATACACGTTGACGCCCTAAAGTGGCCGACAGCAAGAAAACGGATCTACACCAAGAATGACCGCATGAACTACTAACACAAACTCCCACAGAACCGGCTGAGTGCTCACGCACGACAATAATCCAAGTAAAGACGCTGCGATGCAACTGACCCTTGACTTTCCGTTTACAGGTAACTCTAAAGCCCACAACTGTGCCTTTCAAAGAAAACCGACATGTTATAAGAGGGAAGACACACAAAAAGTTCCGACTTTGAAAGACCGAAGTCTGCCAACCGACGCATAATTGCTCTCATTCCATGAGAAGAACGACGAATTTCGTGAGAAATGGCAGAACGCGATGTCAATTAGACAACCACCCCTTAAGATGCCGAATTGTTGCTGCTTCAACGAATTTCATGCAATAAATCCAAAAATGACATTTCAACGACCTGACAAAATTCAACACGTGTGGTAGCAGTAAGGTGAGACCCTAAGATTATAAATAAAAGTAAGGTCACGGCAAGAGACCGTGCAGTTCTCAATCCTGAATAAAGGGTATAACGTTTATTTAATACTTAAACTTTTGAACTATAAAACGGACTGTCGAGATCATGTGCAAACAATGAAAACAAACATATATTTACAGTTAAGGCAATATGTACACAGAACTATAAAATGCGTGTTTTTTTGCCATTTCCCAAATGATACTATCGCCAAATATAGCTGTTGTATTCAAAGGCGCCACCTGCTGATAGAGCGATATCTTCGTCATCGCTCAAGACCTGAAGTGAACATTCAAGAAATCCAGAAAAAATACAATATAAACTTATAGATTCGATTCGATAACGCACCAGATAATGTTCAGCTCTTGAATTTCGTTGAGACTGCTGAAGCATTCAAGGATTATTTTATACATGAAAGGAAAAGACTGAAGAATGAAATCGCACCTCAAAGGGTAACATCGATCCAGCTGCTGCTGAAGATTCACCTTCCGTTTGGCAGAGTTCGTCTGAAGATTACCGGTTTACTAACACTTGATAAATTCGTATGATTAACCTTGTTTACTTCGAAAGCCATTTGTATGGGCACGATCCGGTGACGGTGAAGTGTGCCCTATCATGGGCCTGAGGGTTTTCAAACGCAGTAGAACGTAATGCAGACTGAACGCTGATACAGAATTGGCCGAATCCTAAAAAATTAAATAGATAGCAGCCATGTAGGCCCAAAGTCCAGACCTACGCAACTTCTTTACTCACCAAAACCTGATTTTTCAGAGAGTCTATCTCCAACAATAACTTTTGCAGAACGTCTTCTTTGGAAAGAGCTGTGCCTCTGGGCACATAATTCCTCCGTGCATGAATCGTCACTTCTAAGGAAAACTTTTTCCACAGATCGTGAAGTACAATAATTGGTTGAATATTACCTCGTGATGGACTCGGCGCATGAAGACGACCCGTTTCAACAACCCCATCCACATCAACATATTCATCTAAAAGAATGTAGCGGTGGTGGGATAAAAGTAGATAATTTTAAAACTTCTACAGACTAAATTGATTCTAAAGAAATTATGCAGATCCCTTATTAGGAGACTGCAGAGACACAAAAGACAATTCACCGCCATGAAAGAGAGCTTTGCTTAATTTGCTCAATAGAAATAAAAGTACCTGCGCTATCTTCAGCTGGGTTGAGACTTTCAGACAGTAAAGGCTTCTTAGGTGGTGGGTAGGACCCGTCATAAGTGTCGAATTCCTCAGCTTTCTCAGGCGTCACACACTGAAGTTACTCCATGAAGCTATGATATTTTTAGTGTTACACTCATTCAGCATCGATGGCCCTCACCGCGCAATCTTCTTGGCACTGCTCGACCCGATTTTCACGTTCGGCCTCCAAGATACTTTCATGAGGTACGAACTCGCCTGTCTTCATACGAACTTTCGCTGTGAACACGATGGGTCTTGGCCAATTCTGTAACGAAACTTTCAATTCCATGAGAGATATTTGTACAGAAAAATTGTCCTGCTAGTTGCTTGCAAGTTTGAACTCTTTTGAAAAATTCAGTTAGATACCTGTTGTACTGCAATCTCTTCGGTAGTTTTCTCATTCAGAGGTCGAACTCTCGGAACTCCCTCACGAACAATGCCAACCATGTCCAGTAATTCTTCCTCCCATATTTCGCATGTAGTCGGAATGCCCTCAACTTCCCACCTTAAAAAAACGGATAAAATAATAGAA